GAAAATAGAAATTGTTTTCTGAGAGTTCTCTCGCGTTTTCCTGCTCTAAAAATTATCGTTAAAAAGTAGACAATAAAAGACGTATTCATAACGCCCTATATATGTCGCTATGTATATTTGTGTGTGCATGCGACCACCTTCATTCCGAGTAAGGTGCTTCGCCGTCACTCTCATCCAAGAAAGATGCCTTATTTGTGTATTTCCGTGCGCCTGTGTTTACGTCCTCGCTATCAGTCGACAGATATGTCCTGTGTGCGTCTTTCCGTGGTCATCTAATTTCGATCATCGAACACACTAATGGAATTGCCGCGTCAGTTGTAGTTAGACTTGTGATGTATTGAAATCAGATGAAGTTGGAATTCATATGGAATGCAGTGAACGTGGGTTTGTTTCTAGTAATGGACATTTTTAGACCAATATTCTAGTAGATGTTGATCAGTTCAATTTTAGTTTTATATAATAATAATCCAATTTCTATTGACCACCAATACACACGAAAAATTTAGTGTATTTTTCGCTGATGGTAGAGTCTGGTAGATTGTACCGAATGTATTAATAGAAATATATAGAAACTGAATTATTATGGTATTCATTTTTCTGCAATCACTTTGTAATTCGTTTGTGTCATCTAGTGTTCCTATTGGTGTTTCCGGAAAGCTGAACAAATTGAGGTAAAGGTTTTTAAACATTTTGTTGAAAAGCCAACATGTGGTCTTAAACAGATAATTTAAATAAGAAAAAAGCAGATTTTTCTGTCATATCCATGTGCTTCTGCTAAAGCTTCTCACAATGTGTCATCATCAAGTTCGTTTCATAACATGTCCAGTTCTATCGACCTCTTAACTATCTCTACTGTTTTCAAACGGCATAATTCCAGTTGTTGAAACTATCATTCCCTTAACAACTTGACGAAGTTCTCGATCCAATATAATTGCACATATTTTCTCAACAACTCCAGACAGTACAAAACTAACCACAGTAGTTAAATAAAATAGTTTAACTTTCGAAAGCATATAAGTCAAGATTGCAATTCGATCGGTTAGGTAAATACTGAGAAGAATAATGATATTACGAAGAACATGATACCCCGTTCACAAATTCGTTAATCAGGATTGTGCATGCAAACCATCTGTACAGACCCATAAGCAGTATTTTGTATAGGAGAGTTTTTACGGTAGAACAACTTTTTATTGAAGTTCTTCTCCTAGACTCGATCTTCTGACCCTCATACTATGTATTTCTCCAACTTTGCATTTTCCTTCTGCAGTAAATAGTGCAAAAGGAAGATACAAGTTATGATTATACATTCGTATGACCGCCGTACACTTACGTATATATTTAAATAGTCTTTACACGTGATCACTCACGTGTTACTAGCATTGCTAGTAAAGGATCCGTCGCACACTTTGTGTCGATGTTAAAATACGGTCGACACTTATGTATAGTATAGCTAGTAACACGTGAGTAATCACGCGTAAAGACTACTTAAATATATACGTAAGTGTACGGCCGCCAGACGAATGTATAATCATAACTTGTATCTTCCTTTTGCACTATTTAATGCAGAAGGAAAATGCAAAGTTGGAGAAATACATAGTATGAGGGTCGGAAGATCGAATCTAGGAGAACTTCAATAAAAAGTTGTTCAGACCCATAAGCAAAGTCGAAATAATTATCATGTTACCCTATACTCATCTCGTCTCATCCTCACTGCAAGAATCAACATAAAAACTGATCTGTATCGACTCTAGAACAGTTTCACATTTTCATCTTTGCACTCGCAAATAAGCCGCTCTATCAAGAAGATGGTACTGATGTTTTTATTCTCGTGTACTATCAAATTTGACTGACCAAAAAACGATATGATTTATTACACTGTCAAAATGGTCATGCATCAATATATTCGCAACGATTCCACATTAACAGTGAACCAGCCATCTTAATGATGACTCATTAACGGGAAGCACAAATACTCAATATGCACTACAGCGAAAGTGTTTAACAGTCTCATGTCACAACAATAGAACGAATTTGATTGTAGAGATCTTCAGTAGATGTTCTAGTAGGATGATCAACGGGAAAGATTTGATGAACGATCTGAATACTTTTTTCGACATGCTGGAGGGCCTCTTCGTATTTACGGAGCCGATACAGAGCTGCAGCCATATTGTTGTATGTAATGGCAAGATATGAGTGAGAAGGTGGAAGAGATTTTTGCCCTAATTCGAGTGCTTTCTGAAACTGGATGCCTGCTTCCTTGTAATTACCTTGATTCATAAAAATACTCCCAATCTGTCCGTAGGAATATGCCAAGTCGGGATGTAATGGAGGAAGAGAGGCGAGACGAAGTTTCAATGATCGTTCGTGACTCTTAAGAGCTTCATCCAAGCAATCGTGTTCAAGGAAAAGATCGCCGATATTATAATGAGTCATGGCGATTGATCGTTGATCTTGATCGAGCTCAGGTTGGCTGAGTTCGATGTCGAGGCAGCGTTGATACTGTTCCAGAGTTTCGGAGAAATTACCTTGATTTCGAAGACATTGTCCGATATTTGAGTAGCATGAAGCGAGTTGAGGCGCGTCTGGAGATAAATACGTTAAGTGTAATTCGAGAGATTTTTTAAAGTGAGCAAGTGCTGCTTCCTGATTGTTTATCGCCGAACAGACAATTCCTAGTTGGTTGTAAATATAAGCGCGTTCTTCCATGTCATCCTCGTTCGTTCTTCCAAGCAAAAGTTCATACACTTCTTTCGCTTTGCGATCTTCGCCCATTTTACACAATAAAATTGCCAGTCGATGAAGTGCTGTTGGCCCTTGGATCTCTTCTCGGTAACGATCAGTGAGATGACGAAGTTGTTTATCCTCGTCGTTTGTCAATTTCAACTCAACTTGCCATATTCCATCATCTCGCTCTGTCACGGTCTCGATACGGAAAAGCATATTCATTCCAAACAGAATTTCGTTCTCTGATGGGTAATAACTAATCCCAGTGAGAGAGGCGAAAGGAATGGAGGTCAGTTCTGGAAGAATTTTCATAATAAAGAGAACGCCCACAGAAGTTAAATTTCCATTAACACACTGAGCAAACTCGAGCGACGTCTTCTTCTTTGTGCTGGTCGATAAAAAACTGTTGAACGCTAGAAGACCACCTTGATTTCGCTTGAGCTGGTCGAACTCAACCAATGACATTCTTAAAAATGCAATAGTCTACCGCACCACTGACTCTACTTACAGTGGTTTCAAAAAAATCATATTAGAGACACAAGTGTCGAATTTTGAAACCCCCAGGTTTTGTGCATAGAATGTATTTAGTCACTTTGAACACAGAAACGCTTTAGTTCCCCTATTCTCTCATATTCATTTTTTTATCTCTATCTCCTGGGCGTTAAATCCGATCTCAGAAAAAGATTATGCGACAAAATTGCACGTAAAATTAGTAGATGCCAGATAAATTACACAAAAAGCGTTGGGAACTTTTTTCATAAGGCCATATTTCTCAAGTAAATCTATCATAATGAGATCTATATACTGAAAATTTTAACATAAGTGTACTTTGCTGAGGTCTACTCTTGATCTAAATTCCATCGGTTTTCAAAAAACTTTTATAACCTTCTGTGTCCCTTTGCAAATCTAAAAGATACATCAGACCAAGGTGTATAGTTTTTTGACAGACAGAAAAAGCCAAAGAAACCGACTGAACTGCGGACATCTTTTTGTTACAAACTGGAATACTTTGGAAATTTGGTTGTTCCTGTATTTTTCTACTTTCTAAAGCCGAGACTCTGTCTAGTATCACGAAGCCGCATTGACCCAAGGAATAATTCAAAGTACAACAATACGTTTCGTATGTACTACAAAGAGAAGTAAGCCAATTACCTTTGACCACGAAAAACGGTGAAATTGTCGGTCGAGAATGATTGTAATTGAAGTTGTTTCAATTGACGATGCACATCTTTAATCAGAAAACCCATTATGAGGATAATTTCTATATCAAACACTCGCAAGGCTTTGTTTAACATTCGATAGACGAAACTTTCTCGTGTGTACCACCAAAGTGGTGGTTGCTGCTCGTAGTTTCGGTTAAATTCATCTATGATTTCCAATTCTTCATTATCATCTGCGTAACTGATCCGACAGATTTCAACCAATGTTTGTTTCTGTGACTCACAGTATGTCAGCTCCAGAAGGCATTCTTTGAGTAATTGCGTGTACATAACGATAGGATTTAAGTGATCAAGATCGACTTGATCTGTGCAAACGGAGAGAATAGTCATGGGCGTAAGATCGTTTTCAGTGTGCTTCGTGTCCTCTTTTAACTGTTCACAGAGAGGTACTACTTGAGTGAAAACACCTTGCAGTTTTCTGAAAACCTGAGCCCATTCTTCGTGTTGTGTCTTATTTGTACAGAAAACGTAGAAAGAATCAAGTTGAGGCAGATCGTGGAGAAGAGGAACGAACGAATGACCAAGTGCACCGGAGACAATTAGAAACACTTTTTCCTCTTTTGAAACTGAAATAAATTCAAGACATTCTTTGGAATTTGTGAATGTGTAGATAATTCGAATAATCTGTCGAAGTTGTCGCAAAGTATTTTGAATATCCTGGGTCTGTTCGTCGATCGATGCGTCCAGCCAGACGAGAATGAAATTCTCCACTATTCGACGTTGGCGATGACCTTGCTCATTCTTTGGAGGTGATGCGGCAGACGGTTGAGCTGAGACTGTAGTTGGACGAAGTTTATCGACGAGAAATCGATAGTTAATAGCGTTTGCCTGCTTCATCTTGCTGTTGCTCTTCCCCATGATGGTTCGCTAGTCAATTATATTACAATATATAAGGCACACTCAAATCGAATATGAACACATCTTCACGCTAGAGATGAGATGAAAGAATAACGTTATATTTTTTCTTGATTTCATCTTGTGTCTAGCTGTTATAGTTTTATTTCGTTGTTACGTTTGATGTACAGCAAGACATGTGTCCTTACAAAAAAAAATATTAAAACAAAACGTTCACTTTCATTCATTTCATATTTCTTCCTTCCTTTTCTTTCGTCTATTCGTAAGACACATTAGAACTGCGACAAAAATCATTTCTTTTCGTTTCAAAAGAAATGTTTTTCTTTCTAACAGTTTTTCCTCTGCTATAATAATGTGATATACATAAAACACGCGATTTTTCCTTTCCTATTCGTTCTGTTTACACACAAACACGCTGTAAAAGTAACGCAAAGTGATATAAGATTATTCGAGTATCACGTGTACTAACAACTTCATACCCATAAAATACAAGCAAGTAATTGTTGAGTTTCATATGTAAAGCACTAAGTACACAGCAGGAATATAATGAAAGACAAAAGATATAGCTAGAATAAAAATATTTGTTTGTTTAGTTCAACTTAATCAAGTATTTAATGAATCAACATGCATTAGATTATGCAAGTGAATATCATTATAATCCTTTTAAACTTGAATGTCATCCAAAACTAACTGATAAGAAGCAAAGTCAAAAATTAGTTACAGATTTATTGAAATTTACTAAAGATGATTTCTCTCGTCAAAATCCATCATTCAGAAATATTCCTATGTTTGATTTATGGTGGATTGATTTAAATGGTAATTTACAAATTATTATAAAGACGACAGAATTGTATGTTTATCTATGTAAACCTGATACATATCCAAAAGAAGTAAATGGTATTACAATAACACCGCATCCACCTTCTCATCTACCTCCTCAACATACGGTCATATTGATGGATACATTATTCTATTTTAAATGTTGACTTAGAAGAAGAGTTAAAATCAAAATATGATAGTCTCTTTTCGATAAAAGAAATGGCCGGAACGAAAACTGATAGAACAAGGCATTTGAAAGCGGATTTTTTAGACAAAAAAGATTATGATATTATAATATTTTGAACAGTGGTAAAATCTGTTTATTTGGCTACTTAATTACAGTTGATGAATTTGTTCCAGCTCCAAAGATACTCATCTGTAATCGTTGTAATACAACTAAAAACTCCATGTAAGAATTCTACATTTGATATTTGTCGTCGATGTGGAGAGAATAGAACAAATTTAGCTGCTCATAAAGATTGTCAGGTAAATCATCATTGTGGTGGTCCACATGAATCTACTGATTATAAATGTAAAGTTATTGCTGATTATAGAAGACAACTGATTGAAGAGCTGAAAAAACGCCATGAACGTCTACCACCTGATATTCAACTGTTTATTCCAAAAGATTATCGTTCAGATGAGGATAGATCAAAATCAATTTATAATAAGTCTGCATACGAGTATCAGCAATACCTATATCAGCAACAACAGCAACGTATTTTTAATTTATCTGATAGAAATGCTTGGCCTGATCTAAGACCAAATCCACCAGCAATACAGTCTCTCAGAATGATCATACTTTTAGTGAAACAATTAAATCCTTATCTGATGAATAGAAACCAGTTCAGCAAAGGCATGAAGACGAACAGAAAAAGATCGAACAAAAATTTAAAACATGCACGATATTGATGAATGAAACGTGCTTGTTGATGCAGCAGAGTCAAGCGATTGAGCAGACTATGATACGTGCAATGAATGCTGCTATAAATCAATCTATGTTTGGCACCTGCATGAAATTAACAGAACAGTTATATTTTATAGTTGTCAAACTGAAAGCTTATGAATTTGATGAGTTATTACAACAGATTAATTTACAAGTGCAATTTCTTACGGAATCTCACACCGAATATTTAAAACATCAAGATGAATTAGAATCTATCTCCATTAAACAAACACAAGCACTGAACCAGATTATGGATATTTTCTAAGGAATGGAAATGGATAGTCATGATTTTCCTGTTCTATGTTTTTCAACATTCTCAACGTGAGCAAAAAATAAAACATATGAAAGAAGGCAATAACGTTTGGATTCACGTAAAACAAGTATTTCGTGCTTACACTCCTTCTTTCAGAGGATTGACAACAAATGGCGGAGTACTAAAAGATAATCAAGAAATAGCTGATCAACTAGCTAATTACTATGAAAAACATTTTTCAGAGTCAGTTTTTGATGTAAACAATACATTTTATCTTGAGTGTATTGAGTCATACGAAAAAATAAAAAATACACAAAACATTCCACTTGAAAAAATCAAACTAGAAGAAGTTGTTTTACAGTGGAAAAAATTTTTACCGAACAAATCTCTCGATAGTGTTGATACTTCTGTCTTTCTTCTCAAACAACTTCCTTTGGAATATTTAAACACAATAACTGTCTTGTTCAATAAATGTACTGAAGCAGGCGAATTCTTTTAATCAACTGGAATAGCGAAAGGTATTTTACTCTCTAAAGATGGAGCATATCCAATTGAAAGTCGTCTCCACTCAATTTCACTTCTCCCACATTTAGGCAAGGTGTTTGAGCGTGTAATCGTAGCAAGAATTGAGAAATAGTGCACATACCAAAGTATTCACATCGATGCTCAATCTGGATTTACAGCAGGAAAAAGACTACAGACAAGAATTGTTTCTATGATAGAAGATTTAAAGTTGACTGTTCCAGCATCAAACAGGCCTGCACTAGCCATTTTTGTAGATTTTAAAACAGCGTTTGATGCCATGTGGTGGCCGGCATTAATGAAAACATTAGAAAATTTAGAAATACCAGTTGAACTACGTTAGTGGATATACAACTGGCTTCAGCGAAGAAAAATGAGTGTTCATCATGGAGAGAAGAAGTCTAGGCTTTTTGATATCTTAGTAGGTGCTCCTCAAGGAAGTGTATTAGCAGCTCTATTGTTTAGACTTCATATTCGTTTTTTAACCTCTTCTTTTTTACAAATAACGAGTCATCTTTTTGCTGATGATCTTACTATGATAATCAAGGGTGCACTAGAAAAAAGACTAAGTAAGAATATTGAATACCTTAAATATTAGGCGAAAAAAGCGCTAAAATCATTAGAGAAATTTGCAGATGATCATATTCTTGCAGTGAATGTATTGAAAGCAAAATGTATGTTAATACACAGTGCAGTGTCAGTGAAAAAACCAGTTTTAAAATATAAAAACATTGAGATCGAATATGTAAAGTCGTTCAAGTGTTTACTGCTGATCACACACTAATTTTACAAGATCTTAAATAAGTTTTTGTAGAATCTTCACCGTACTATGGGGCGAACAAAATTGTCCAGAGACCTCCTTAAAAACCTCATCGACGAATTATTAACTTAGACTGTTTTTTCGAAATGATCTATAATACGATACAACACCCTGTGACTTGTTTCGAATATTCTTGAAAGTTTCATTGATTGAGTTCGAAATCCATTGTTTCTCTGAAAACGGTGATACGCTGTTTCGAAGGTTGACGTGTATGTGGTGTCTGGGTTCGAAATTTTTAAATATTTATGTTTTAAAGCCTTAGCTACACAATGCCAAGGATATCTGTCCCAGGAAGAAAAGTTCTAAAAAAATATCAGTGTCAAAGTGCAAAACCAAAAAATTTTCTAGTTTCGGGATTAAACGCTGATAGAAAAGCTGAGACAAAGAATCTTCCTATTGTTAATACTTCTACCTACCATAAATTGTCAGCCACTTCTGAGACTCGACTGCACCACCTATCCTTATTTTATCCTGCAACGACAGCTAAATTGCTCGTGTAAAATTAACTTACTTCTGTGTTTGAAATAGTGTAATTAAATCAAGCTCATAATGTTAATAAATGATAAAGTTAGAAAAATTTAATAAATATTACTAGAGACGAAAAAAAAACGAATGTGAGAGTAGATATATTTAATGTGCTTGTGTCTGTTCTGTTTTCAAACTGAGACGTTTCACCTATAACAAAAATCATTTGGATTCTCCAGTTTTTTGTATATATTACTGGTATCAGTGCTTCTTTTCTCTGACTTTTATCTCAGTCATGTTTGACGTTATCTTAACTATCAGACTCGGATATACAAGGGAACCGTATACATTTGTATGAATATTATTAAGGAGCGATTTCTCCCTTAAACATACCCTTAAACGTCAAAATACTCGCAGAAATGTCATTCATGCGGAGTATGCGAGCCGATGGTCTATGACCTTGGTTTCATAAAAGAAAATTTTAAATTTGTTTTCTTACGCTATTAGATTGAAATTAATAAGTGTTAATTAACGCTAATGAATATCACTCTACTACCTTACACTTTATAAATCTGACTGATAATAGCTAGAGGATTACAGTTTCCAACATTCGATGGCCAAGACTTTACCGCATCTTTTCGAAAAAAGAAGCTTTTTGAACCCGTTTTCCAGAAGATCTATGGAAAACTGAGGCATGAGTGCGAAACTTGCAGTATAAATAAATTATTTTTTTTACGTGGGTAGATAGCTCAAACTGTCTTTCCCAAAACGAGTCCCAAGCGAGACCTGGGTTTTTAGTGGTTCAGCCGTGGTTTACAATTTTCTTGAATCCCTGGATTGCTACTCGGTGACTAGACGTAGAAATTGTAAGAAACATACGTAGTCGATCACGCTGAATCTTGTAGCAATGTTTGTTTTCGGGAAAAATCAAAAACGCAGGTTTTCCAGAGATCTCCTGGAAACAGATTTTTGAGAAAATTCTCACGAAAAGATGCGGTCAGGTCTTGGCCATCGAATGTTGGAAACTGTAATCCTCTAGCTATTATCAGTCAAAGTTCTAAAGTGTAAGGTAGTAGAGTGATATTAATTAGCATTAATTACCACTTATTAATTTCAATCTAACAGCGTAAGAAAGCAAATTTAAAATTTTCTTTTATGAAACCAAGGTCATAGACCATCGGCTCGCATACTCCGCATAAATGACATTTCTGCGAGTATTTTTAACCAAACTACAAGCTCTTCAAAAGAGCGACCAGCAACAGAAATTTTCATTCAAATTTAAACTTAATTAATTAATAACTCTGTCAATACTTGCACAAATGTTGTTTTATCGCATTGACCTACGAGCAAAGATGTTTTCTACAAACTGGCCAAGTTTAGGAATTTTTCTGGGCCGTCCAACCGCGTATAATTTTTACATAATGTAGTAAACGATTGATGTAAAAAAGATCGCATAGGTTTAACCATCCCAAACTAGATAATACTCTCTCACTTGATGTGCCTTTCAAACAACCTAACACAACAAGACCAGCATGATACTGAATTGTTTCCATTTTTTTGAGATTGTCTTCAGTTGTGATAGAAAAAAGGACCGAGCCATAAATAAACAAATTAAGGACATACGACTTATATATCACATCAAGCGTTTTTCTATTTAACAACCATTGACTGTATC